TTTTTACACTTCAAGACAAATGAAAAGACCACATTCATGTAAACAAGAAAAAATACTTTATATAGTTTATACCAAATTTCATAAAAACTAGTGCAACTGAACTATTCAAGCATATTTTTTTCTAATTTGTATTATTATATGCTCTTCAAATTCTTTAAAGGTAATTCTGAAGGATTTAGGAGAAAGATGATAGAAAGAAGTTGGATTTTTTAAGTAAACAACAGGCTAGCATGAGCTAACATGTTTTACTTTTTGTATTAGTAGTATTGATTACTGTCGTGAGTACAAAAACCAAACAAAAAAAAAGCTCTGTCATGTTTGGTCACATTTTTTCAAAGAGCCACTGCAGGGGGACCAAAGAGCCACATGTGACCCCAGAGTCGCAGGTTGCAGACCCCTGTCCTAGACTCTGAACTGAATCTGCTACAGATTGTTGTGATAAATCAGACTTTAACTAGATTCTAATACTTTGAAGGAATTGGAAAAGAACWGTCCATTACTGATTGTTCACAAATCTCAATCGCAATGTAAAAAGTCGGAGAGTGTATTAAGGAAGAGGCAAATACGTCAATGAAAAACCTTTGGTATTTCTGTACTTTATGCTATGTGTCTCTGCTGATAATCTGTCTCTCGTTGGTGCTTTCTGCCTCCTCCAGGTGATGAGAATAACTCTGTCCACGTTAAACTGGAGGAGGAGAGAGATGGTGCGCTGGTTAGTCACATGTGCCACTGAAGTTGGTAAGTCCACTTCCAAGATGCACGTGCTTGGTATCTTAATATCTCTTCACCTTTTGTTCTTGCAATTGGATTTGCGCTCTCCAGGTGTCTACGCACTGGACAGCATCATGCAGAGCTGGTTCACCCTCTTCACCCCTACAGAAGCCACCAGTATTGTGGCCACCACCGTCATGTCCAACAGCACCATCGTCCGCCTCCACCTGGACTGCCACCAACAGGAGAACCTGGCTTCGTCCGCCCGCACACTCGCCCTGCAGTGCGCCATGAAGGACCCCCAGAACTGCGCCCTCTCCGCTCTGACACTCTGTGAAAAGGACCACATTGCCTTCGAGACAGCCTACCAGATTGTACTGGACGCTGCCGCAACGGGAATGAGCTACACGCAGCTGTTCACCATCGCACGCTACATGGAACACCGCGGCTACCCGATGAGAGCGTACAAGCTGGCGACGTTGGCGATGGCCCACCTGAACCTCAGTTACAACCAGGACACGCACCCGGCCATCAACGACGTACTCTGGGCCTGCGCGCTCAGCCACTCGCTGGGCAAGAACGAGCTGGCCGCGGTCATCCCCCTGGTGGTGAAGAGCGTGAAGTGCGCCACCGTGCTCTCGGACATTTTGCGGCGGTGCACGCTGACCACGCCGGGCATGGTGTCGGCGCTGCACAGCCGAAGGAACTCTGGGAAGCTGATGTCGCTGGACAAGGCGCCGCTCAGGCAGCTTCTGGACGCAACCATCGGGGCCTACATCAACACCACGCACTCGCGGCTCACGCACATTAGCCCCCGCCACTACAGCGAGTTCATCGAGTTCCTGGGAAAAGCCCGGGAGACGTTTATGATGGCTCACGACGGACACATCCAGTTCACCCAGTTCATAGACAACCTGAAACAGATCTACAAGGGCAAAAAGAAGCTGATGATGCTTGTGAGGGAACGGTTTGGCTGAGGGTGAGACTGGAGGTGGCCAAACCCTCCACTTCCACTCTAGTACTTTTCTATTAACTTGAGTCTGCCTTTTGAACTTCTTTTGAACTAATAGACAAGTGAGAAGGAAGTGACTTGTGACACGAAGCAAAAAGAGAAAGGAAAAGATGACAAAAAAGTCAACAGAGCCACATGCGGTAATATTGTTCTTGCTGTTATTATTGTTATAAACATTATTACTATTATTATTATTATTATTAATATTATTACTACTCTGTGTACAGAAGTGTTTTTATTTTTCAGAAGAGAGGAAATTTGTCACATTGTGAATGTTGTGTGTATTTCTCTACATGTGTGCGAGATGAAAATGAAAAGTGAAATGGCTTTTAAAGATTTTTTGTTTCTTTATTTCTATGATTTTTAAAGCTTTTTATTTTGTTTTATTTTGTTTGTTTGTTTTCCCGATTTCTGTGTATGTTGAGTTACATGTTGTTGAGTGGCTGAAGCCTTTGTACAATAGCGCTCATGTAAAAAACAACAAAAAAAAAGGAAGAAAAAAAAACCAATGGCGACGTCTCGGTATCCTCAAAGAGAAACTAAGGCTTTAAACCACACAGAGCACCTCCCTTTGTCTAGGCCCTCGCTGGTGGGCACTGGACAGCACTGCACAGTTTAGCTCAGCTCGGCTCGGCACAGCTTGGGTCAGCACTGACAGGAAGCCGCGTTCAGCATGTTTTTCATGCTCAGCAGCAGCAGCACTTGAGCAGCCATTAGCTTTCTCTTGGTTCCAGGCATTAGCTTCCCTCCAAACGACAATGCTCTTAGCTAACTCGTGTTAGCCCTCCTCTATAAAAACAAACCAGTTCCCTACAGAGGATGGTATGCAGACGCAGTAAAGACAAATAAGACCAATTTAATAAGTATTAACTCCTTAGTTCTGACATCTGAAAAAAAWWTTTTTTTTGTTAAAGAAATTCCCAATGGGAGACAACTACCTCACAATACGGTATTAAACTTGCTTCCATTTATGATCATATTTATCGCCTGTGATAGCCTACAGTGTTAATTAAGAAGACAAATCACTGGTGAAACACAACAGTTTTTGAGATCTTTTAAGTGGAGTTCTGTTGAATAACTTCAGTTTTGAGAAACAAAGTTTTGACACGCTAAAGGCTAGCTGACAAGCTAACAGCGAGCCAGAATGGGGCTGAAAACAAAGTTAAACCCTGTTTTTTCCCCCAAACCAAGGTGGTTCAAAGAATTATAGAACAATTAAGATTTTGTTTATAACCTTTCCACAAAATCTCTATTTAAAAGGTCTAAACTATCCCTTTAAGTGGAAACTAAGAGTCAGATTCTCATTAAATCTTTCTGTTCTCTGCTCTGCTATACGTCACTGCCTTCGCATCGTTACCCC